TCGGACCCGCTCTGGCAGACGTGCTGCACCGTCATGCACCGTCAAAAAACACTACTACTACTCCTCCTCCTAGAAAAACTGTTCAAGGGACCGTCAGGAAACGAATGAAGCTTTTGAAGCTCCGAACCTGGTTGCTTCGTAGCTGCACCCTGAATTTTGAAGCTTTTGGCTTCGCCTGAAGCCGTGAAGCTCGTGAAGCCAATGGCTTCGCCCGAAGCCCTGAAGCTAGTGAAGCCAATGGCTTTGCGCTTCACAGCAGAAGCTCGTCTGAACCACCCTTAGCGTGCAATCGCTATTCATTCCATCAAACACTTCTGCTACAACTACAAGAACAACTGCTGCTGATGCTGCTGCTGCAACACACAAACTACTACCACGCCGCCGCGCTCCTACTACACTGCTACAGGTAGTATTACTGCTAGTGTTGCTGCTGCTACTACTCTGCTTTGATGTCGACTGATGACTATTAAGACCAGCACTTCCACATCTCTAGCAGCTGCAGCAGATCATCGACCAAAAACACATGCAAACAATCTGTCCGCATCGAGGGCTTCGGGAGACACATCCTAGCTTGTGGGTTCGAAGCTCTACAGAGAACTTCGCTTGGCATTTTTGCTGACATAAGAAGTGGCTAAACAAGATTATTGAAGCATGTTGAAGCGATGAGGGTCCAAGTCGTGAACAACTGCCAACATAATGCAGCGTCCCATACGCTGAGCAACACAATCACTGCATACAGCATGCCTGCAATCAAGGTTCAGAAGCAGATTCTCCGGCTTGAGATCACCTGAATTGCAACCAGCTGCCTGCTAACGGCGAAATGAGTTCATCCCATACACGGCCGAGTGGCGGAACACAATCTTCTTGCCTCAGTATCCCGCGTCATCTCGAGATGTTTCCGAATATCTTCAGGGCAAAATGATGGGAAACTTCTAGCTAAGCGCAATGTCTGTTTGCCATACGACTCTGAGCCCGCCCCTGCTCCTGCTGCCATGGAGCTGTGCAGATGCTCGAACGCATGCGTGACTCCAGCGAGATAGAACTTGGCATGGGGCTCCTGCACTGATCTTGAAAGATGCGCATCTTGCCGTCCGAAGCAGTATGCAATCAAAGCATCCAACACGTTCTTCAGGCAGCTGCTATCTTTAGCCGCGGACCATCTGGTGTGACATGCCTAGCTCTGTTGCAAGGCTCAAGCACTCCGTTGACTTGTCACCATGCGATGCGTTGCTGGCTCGTCCTTCCCGAAGAGCCCCTTCTTGTTGTACGTCGCATACAATTCTCCGCCGAGTGCCAACTCCTGCAGTTTGAAAATATGGCATATTATATCTTGTTGAGTTGCCTGCCCCTGTTGCAAAAGAAGGCGCAGTACTTGCAATGGCGGTCCAGCAGAAAGTAGAGCGTCTGGCTGCCATTGTAAGTCTCAAAGAGCTTGACCTCAGTGGCTCTTAAGAAATGTCGCTTCGTACGGGGACACGGGGTCGGCTGCTGCCAAGATCTGCCAAGGGACGATGAAGGGCGAATCACACATCAGCTGGACGTTCTTCTCGCTCATCACACTTTGCTGCATACCGGACTTCACAACATAGCCTTTACCTGGGGCATTTGTGGGGCTTGTCGACGATATTTACCACACTGTCTGCTGGCAGTCTGAAGCAAGCATCTGAGGTTGAGACTAAGTGCCTTCAAGGCGTATGTGTTGCCGTTTTCCACCTGAGTAACAATGGCTATGGCCAAGCTTCTGTTCACTGAGTGTGGCCTTGCCTGGCCACCTCCCCCGAATTTGCCTTTTGGTTCCTCCCCGATATCTGCAGGCGATCTGCGTGCTCCACAAGCTCCACGGCACCAAAGCCGCCACAGCCGAGCAGACCAAGCTGCTTCAAGTGCTTCCTGTCTGTGGAATTGGGACATTCAAATTTAAGCGGCTGTGAAGAAACATCTAGAAACTGCTACAGGCAACACCCACCTCTGCATGCAAGTGCCACATGACATGTTGCAGACTGGCCGTCCTTTCAATGTTGCCGAAACGTTTTTGGGAACCTGGCAAGTGCAAACCATGTACTGAGGCACAAGCAGAAAGCCTCAACCTGTTGACACACAACTCTCATGATCAACCTGTTTCTATGTGTTGCAAATCCTCCTCCACTAAATCTGCCAGCTCCCCCTGCATGCACCATCAGCCATTAAAAGCGGCCTCCGGACAAGTCCTGGATTTACGATGGTATATTCCTGTAGATCAGCACTGCTTCTGCAAAGTTGACTTGAGTCCGCAGTATTCTGCGCTGGAATCACCTTTCTACAAATTACTACTCTAGATCTTGTTCCTGCACAAGGTGCAAAGTCGTGGCAAAATGCCAACTGCTGCCTGTGTTCGGTCGAACTGCTGGCTCCTTCTTGACAGCGCTCGGGGCATCCTTCCAGCCAGGAGGTGTTGCATTTGTTTCCATATGTTCCATTCATGCTTCCTTCTATTTCCTTCCTGTCCTTCCCGCGCTTGTTGAGTTCGTCAAGGGGCTGCAAGATCATCTCGAACGTCTCCTTGTCCATGACTAAGGCCTGGCAAGGTGAGGCCGTGTGAGTCCTTGCCCTGAAGCAAGCATGCGGAAAAGGCTGCGCACATTCCCAAAAAAGTCAATGAGCCCGTATGGAAGACTCCACATGTTGAGCATCAGAGAAGTTCTTCAGGCTTTCTGAAGCCTTGAACTCCGAAAACATGGCACATGTTTCAGGTTTGCGCATGCTTGTGGCAAGGCCCATTCCTGTCTCCTGACGAATCTCAGAAGAAAGAAATACAGAATAGCTGGTTTAACTGGACAAAGGACTTTGTCACACCACTCTTTTTGGCGGGTCTCTCCATGGAGTCCGTGGCCACAACAGGCGTGCTCAAAGCCAACGCAAGCTTCCAAGGAGTCTCGGCTACCTACACCAGCCCGTTACTCTTCTTTACCAGAAGATGTACAAAATGGTTAAACTCTGTGTGTTATGTGTATTTGACCTATGTCAAACCTTAATGGCAGTAGCCTTCGCTGTCTCAGAGGTAACGGTGATGGTAGCAATTCGAGGCTCCTCCACACGAGACGGTCGGCTTTCTTTTATGTGTGAATTTGGGTGCTGTCTTCGTGGCGTTTTCAGCTCCTTGGTGAGCAGCGCTCGCTCGCCAAACATGGGAGCCTGCACGCACACACAGGCCAATGCTGCCACTTTCCAGCCACGTGTTCAACACTGCTCCTGAAACCGATTTTGTGATTCTTGTTGCCTAAGCCCTAATCCGTACTCAAAGCTGTAGCGCTGACTTGTGACTCTGCAGTGACGGCCTCCTTGCCAGAGGCTTTCAATCGCGTCTGCTCCGTGCTGTCCTTGATGACAGCAACCTGCCATGTCAGCTTCAGAGTCAGACTTGCTGTCTGCTCGGAGCATGCAACCGCGTGCTACAACTGCGTTGGCTAACTCCATTTGAGCCTCGCCCTCAACGAGGATGTAGAACGCATCGCCTGCCTCACCCTGCTGAAACACGTCCTCTGGCGCAGTGCTGTTGGATTAAAATCGGGAAACCGACCTTTCACAAAATGCATGTCCCTGGACTTTTCATCTATTCGTATGCAAGACATGTGCGTTGTGCAGACAACTGAACACGCTGTCTCCTCACTTTTTGAGAACGACATCTCTGTCAGGGCTTTCCTCGGCAAGCAACCTACATTAACAGCCGATGCAAGCTGAAAAAAGGAAATTTGTTCTTCTCAGGATCCGATGCTGGCTGGTTGCATGTGAGAGGAAAAAGTAAATCGCCTCCACTGCCTTTTGATGATCCCAGCACGCTTGGGAGTCACAAGATTAAGGAATGCTTTCAAAGGTTGTACAGGGTGTCGAGAAGATGAGATTTGAAATCAGTTGGCTTTGAGGCTACGGTAAGGTCCGGGACGACTGCCAAGTTCGGACACTTCATGTCAATTCGGCTGTAATGAGGCAGACCTGAGTGCTTTCTCTGTTCTTTTGCTCTTTGGTGTCCAAGCCTCGCAACCGCCTCCTTCTCATCTGGCTTCAGCTTGGCAAGCACTTGAACCTGCGCCAGTCACTCAAGCAGATGCCAATATCCTTTACCCCCCCTTGGGAGGTGATCGACAGCTGCAGCCTGACATGACCTCAAGAAGTACCTACATCAGAATTAGAACAAGTTGTGCCAGATCTCCTTGTCCAGATATCCGACATAGTCCTGCAACAGGGGCTTGTCAGCAGTGTCTGTTGAGATGAGTGCTGCGACCACTGTTTGATTTGAATCACACACGACGCGCTTTGTTTTTTTTTTGAGCCTTAATTCAGGCTCTACACTGTCAAGCACGAAGCTTAGCCTCAAGAACATGCTTCAGGTCCACTAAATAATCAAGCTCAGCCTTGGATGAAGTGAGGATTCTGCTGTGGGTTGGCGACAGGCATCCACACAGGTGCTTGTCACAGTTCAGAGTCAAGATTACAGGACGCGCTTTGTGCACACATCCGGCGTGCGATTTTGTCCCGATCTGCGTTCGGCTTTGGATTCTGTTTACAGGGCCTTGCCAGTCCCCGAAAACATGCGCTCTCGCACTCCCACCGATGCAGACTATTGCAAACTTGAATGCCTGCGGATACAAAGTTCTCTATGTCTATCCCCACTGTCCTTGACGGTGTCTTGCGCCGATTTTGCGAGTGTCGACTTGAAGGTCTTTCTGTCAATGACCCAGACCTTGATGTGACGGGATGGCTGAAGGAAAGCGTCTCCAGGCCGCATTTTGCCATGGTTTAGCAAAAACCTATCCGCGTTGGCAAGCCAAACTCCTTTTACTTAATCTAAACCCCAAACTGTGAAGCCCACAGAGCGGGAGTACCTAAGACAAAATGAGCCAGGTGGCCACAGAGTCCTGCACTGCTCGCACTGATGCAGCGCGTGGCGCAAAGTACAGCAGTGCCAGCCTCAGTACGGCTGTGATGGGGCCTAGGGGTATGATTCATCCTTCGTAAAGCGCAACTGTTTTAAAGGCTGATCTGCAGTTTGAGTCTTGGTGGCCTATGGCCTTTGGAGCATCTTTCTGTAACGGAACTTGTTGGGATTTGTTTCTTGACCTGGTCTGCGTAGGTCCATTCCAGGTCAAAATCCTGTTCCGACATCGTTGAGTTTCAGCCTCTGGTCTATTCTCACGAGTGTAACAGGTGTTCTCCAAAATCCAATTGCCGTTGAGTCTTATGTAGACAAGGATATGTGCCACATTCCTTGTGCTTGCACTGTGTCTTGGTAACTCGTCATGTGCTTTTCTGTGAGTGTCTCTAACATCCAACTTCACCTGTGCTAAGCTGTAAGTTTGGATGACTGTTTGAGGCGCCTTGCTGCAGTTTCGATTGTCAATCTCGTGGCCTGCGTTCTCCAAATAGCACTGTAAGCCTGAATGTTTCCAGGCTTAGAGATCCTGCCTGACAATACTGTTTACCTCAAACTAGACAGGAGTTTCAGGTCATATCAGGTCAATCTGAGGTTAACGACCAGGCCGCAGACCAGCACGTACGATTTCCCATCCTCTTTGCGGCCCAGCAGCTCACCAAAACTACCGCCAGCGGATACGATACCAAGGGACTGCGCTGCTGCCTAATCAAGCATGCTCTTCACGGCGGACTCACATCGGCTGCCAGAACTCATTGAACTTCTTATGCATGTCCATGATGATAACATCACACTGAGTATCGCTGAGCACCATGGCAACCCAAGGCCTGCCTGCGCTGCATTGGCGCTTTGTGCCTGAGACTCGGTCTGCGTCACTGAGATGGAGAACTTCCCACTCTGAACCTGACCAGAAGGGACTTCCAATCACATAGCTACCCAGCCTACAATTCCGACCGCAGCAGCAGCAGCAGCAGCAGCAGCAGCAGCACAAGGCGCTTCACACATCTCACGCCGAGCAGCTATATAGAAATAATCAGCGTTGAGATCACCCTCCTGCAAAACATGTCAAACGAACAGCTGGGCAAGTTAGACAAGTTCAGGGTGAGACGTGAAGAGGAAAGCGCGTTTGGAAGACAGCACTTTGCTGTTGTGCTTCTACTTGTCGCACGCGTTGCACCATGATGGAGGAGTGCGATCACATCACACCTGTCCTTTATCAGCTCCTTGCCAATGGGAACTGTTTCTTTCCTCAGCTCTTGAGCAAGACTACACTCCTTCGACTAGCTGCCAGTACCACTCTCGTGACCAAGCTTCCATGCTGCATCGACCAGAACAGCAACCTGCTTGTCGTCTAGCGAAACGCAGCTTTGCCTGGGCATCCAGGATTGACAATAATTGCACTCTCTCATTGTGGAAAACAATTCGGCCGAACGCCTCTTGTTGGAACCACTGCCGGCCTCTAAGAAATAAAGCTCTTGGAAATCATGTGATGCAGGGACATGAGCACATTGGGTTCGGGTGTACAGCCTGTCCTTGCAATTTGGACATCTAGACTATACAGGTGTGCACTTCAACGGTTGGCTATTTTCAGCCCTATCTTGAGACATCCACACATTCGAACCCCAGACACCTATTCCGCAACCCTAAACTAAAACTGAGGCTACAATATACCGGTAGTGGTCTCCGACATAGAAGCTCGGGGTCAACGCCTAGCGGGCAAACAGGCACAACAAGAGAAGAGCTGAGAAACAAAGTACAAGATACAACAAGAGCCCGCGCTAGACCCTGCAGTACCAATAGAGTGACATCTTGCCGCCATGCGTCAGGTTCTGATTGTTTCTCAGAGCTTGGACCATCAGCTTCCGCTCCTTGCCACTCAGCAGACAGAGGATCGAGATTCATGTGCCAACTGTGTCGCGGCTGCTGCGGCTGCTGCTGCTGCTATGGAAGGTTACGGTTCTCTGCAGAAAGGCTGGGAAAAAGTGCCTCCTGTTGCGCAGCTATTACGCCCGCCGGGATGCAAAAGCAGTATTACTGGCCGATTCCACTATAAAGATCCAAGGCTGTCCGAGGCACTTCGGCCGTCTTTGGGCTGGGCGGTTTGACCTCGGGCGGTGAGACAACACTCGGGAGGTGGACAGGGCATTCTACCAGTCGTAGACATGTGTGCCTCCAACTCTTTGATTGCCCCACCAGCAACAGCCTGAAATGCGTGACATTGCCAATGTGCCAGCTGCAATGGAAAGCTTTGACTCGCACATTTGCTTCTAGCCGGTGCCTTTCGCTGCGGGAAGTCAAGCTTCTCTCTGAGGCCCATCTCCTGAACGGCGATACTCTGATCTCATGTATACTACACGGTACCATCTGATCTAAATCGCTGCACCCCAACTGAGCGCCCCTTCTTCGTAAAGCTTGTAAGCAGGAAAAGGTCATAACATGTCATAAGTAACGCATCTCATAGGTACTGCTTGTAAGTTCAACTTAGGGGCACCACCATTTTGTGCCTCACACCTTCCACCCCCTTACTCACCCTGCGAGATGGCCCAACTGGAGTTCCGCACAAATCTCGGAACCAGCCCTCAAACAAGTCATTCGAGTGGGAGTTTGCAGCTTCAACCGCCACTGGCAGCCCTTCAAGCGGTCGGCTGTTCACGAAGCTACAGAGGATCGGTGGCCATGGATTTTCGAGTTCTTCTGGGCAGTCCATTTACCAGTACTCCCTCGCATGTCCAGGGAACCCAGTATGTTGCGCAGCGTAGCAACTGCACTACACACCTGAAGTATCCTTTAGCCCGCGCAAGCTGCGCCTCGAACTTGGTCCGAGAGATCCTGAGATGGGCCCCGTAGCCAGCCAAGCTGCGCTGCAGGTCTTTACTGACACTGATTCAATGCCAATTCGCGTGTGGTGCTTTGCTTCACTCCTCAGACTTAAGGCAAGCAGCATGTAGGTTTGCAGCTCCGACTTGGCAACTATTGAAGCTGTGCGCGGCTCGTCCCGAAGCAGCGCGTTCTCTCCGAAGTAGTCGCCTCGCGTATCCGACATCGCGCTACAGTGCCCCGGAGGACTGCTGACGGATCTTGGTTGATGCTGACGGCAAGCCAATCGGTGGTTGATGCATGGCTTCCACATTGCGGCATGCCTTGTTTGAGAACTGCCACCTCCTTCCCGCCGACGGAAACAGAGGCCTGCAACGGCAGCAACAGCTGCAGCAGCAGAAAGTCAAGCATGCGGCTCCTTTGAGATGTTACTTGCCAGTGGGAAAGGTGGCAGGACTTGACAATCGGATGATCAAATATGATCAAATGGTGCGTGCTTCAAACTCTGCTGTCTTTGAAGCTTCATTGCTAAAAGCCCATGCTGGGCCACCATGCTTCAACCAAGACACATCCCCGGACCGGATGATGTAAAAAGCGTCACCGACGTCTCCTTCGGTGATCACCTCACTTGGGCTGAGCCAAGAACTGATAGGTCACAGTGTCTCAGCTTGCTCAAGCTAATCCAAGCTAAGATCAGCTCTTTGTCACCAGAACGGAACGTCTTCGGCTCGCACGCCGACGCTAGTGTGGGAAGCCTTGGACTACAGCGACACAACACTGATTTAGTTTTCTCGCTCATCGAGAAGCTCCATCAGCTGTTGACTGCAGCACAGCCGCTCTGTTTCCGGCAGTCGCTGGAACAGCTTCACCTTTCGGCTGAAATTGTTACCAATACATCGTCAAGCATCCGCTTCACAGCCACTCCACGTCACTTTCGATAGGGCGGTTCGAGATCGTTAGCTCAAGAGAAGGTGCCCACAAACGAAGATGTCCATCTCTTGGCTTTTTCAACGCATCTGGATAATAGCTACAGTATCAAGGGTCTTCTTTTCCCTGATTATGTGAGCCGGCCTTCGTGAAATATGCTACCAGTATGCAATCCAAGCTATAACAGGACTCCAGGACAGTGTCCTCTAAAACACAAAGTGGCTCCAGCCCCTGAGTGGAAGATGGATTCTGATAAACCCAACGTCAATCTTCGCATCCCAAACACCCGAAAACAGCAGGGCACAAACTTGCACAGGTGACAGCAAGATGGTCTCAACTTGTGCCTGTAGCAAGAACTTGGAAGCACCCGAAGGAGCAACTGGTCGACTTGCCCCTGGCAAACGGCTGGCTGGACAGAGAACAGACTCAGCAAATCAAGTTCACATCACTCATTATTGAAAGAACAGCCGCAGTCCCAACCTCTCGAATCGGACATGGGCTGAGCTGGCACATCCTGGGCTTGATTTTTTTTGTTAGGGCCAGACAGATCTCCCGACAAGCGCAGAGCGCCTCCGGGGCGTGACTGCAGTCGGAGCATAGTAGCGCTCCCATTGCCCCACCTCCAGCCCCGACAAAGCTAGGCACAGACCCTTGCAACCGCCTTCAAAGGCTGCAACAACGCAACTCTTGACGTCCGGCCTTCTGCAGCGCAGCTGGCAGGGCAGGTCTGAGCAACAGCAAATCTGCAGATGAAAGCACCAGCTCGCGGCCCTGGCAAGCTGAGCTGGGCTGCTGAAAGAGTTTGTCATCATGTAATAAAAGGTCAAACAAGTCGACCTTCTTGATGTATCCTGTTGCGTTTAGGTAAGACAGTCCTACAAAGCCTGGCTTTCATGTGCTTGTGTGGCCGCCGCCTCCTCGCAGTGTTTAGATGCAAGCTTGCCCTTGCAATTCTGGTCCTGTATTTGGAGCAAATGAAATCCATCCAGTCCCCAGCAAAACGACTCACCCACGCTAAACGTTTTGAGAATTTCAAAAGACCCACATTCCATGGCAATGGCATGTTTTTTGTGCCAACATGTGCACCCAGCTTAGCTCCACCTGGTCAGCAAAGTGCATCAGCCCTGTCTGACTTATTGCGCGAACGAATGCATGATTCCCAGCCTAATTATTCAAGCGTACGGACTTGCACGCTTTTTGCAACCTAATCTAACCTAACCATGCTCAATCATGCTCATACCGCTACGCTGACCCTGTGCCGCCCATTATATTGGAATCTACCATTCTTTTCCTGCGCATGAATATCGAGGGTCTGCTGAAGGGAAATGTGAGACCGAGACGTCTGTGACACATCTGGCAGGAGTGATGCTGGTCGCGAGCGGTCCCTGCAAACACTATGCAAGCTACCTCGGCCATAAAAGAGGCAATCGCAGTGACTCTGCGTGAAGTGGCACTTGGAGCCGATACCTCTATGAAGGCCGACTGTGCGGCCACACCGCATTCCATTCTGTGCCTGCCATGTGTTCACATAAGTGTCACGAATCAGGACATGCTTATCAAGCCACCTCACTACTCCGATGAGGTCCGCCGCAATTACCTCCGTGTGCTCTGGCTCCAGACTCCAGCAGCTTCCGGGCGCCACTTGCTGAGGTGGAGCGCCTGCCTCGAGCGTATGTACATATTGGTGTTCATGACTCTGACGCTCTCAACAGCAAGTGCTCCAGGGTCTCTAAACAAGCTTGGCAAGTGCTCACTGCTCATGGCCTCGGTCGATTTATGCCGAAGATCTTCCGTGCCAGTAGCACAAAACAGCTCGGCAGACAATTTCACCACGGTCCTCGGCATGCATGGCAGCTAAGGTCGAACAAGCAGCTCGACACACAGGACTTTGCCCATCGCAGAGGCCCCTGCCCAATTTCGGAGGGCAGCCACATAGCCTCGCACCAGTTGGCATCGGTCAGCTGTCCCATTTCTTGTTCAAGGGATGTTTCAACTGAGACATGGGCGTGGATCAATACCCTCAAAGCCATAGAACGCACCAGCCAGCTGACCTCTCCAGGGCAACAAATGTAAACTGAGCTAGCTCCATGCATTTAGACCAAGCAGCCGTTTCTGGTGCGTGCTTTATCCTGTTCTGGGTTGTTTGGTGCTATCCCAGACCATTTCTGGGTTCTTTGGGGGCTGATACCAGTTCTACCATCCCAAACCATTTCTGAACCAGAGCCTGCGATCGCGCCCACAGTATCCGCATCGCCGAGAAAATTTACGGCCTTATTAAGAATGCCGGAATCCAAAGGCGCTTAAAAGATGGCCAGGTGCCCTGCATTGCATGCTCCAGGCACGCCGAAATCACAGCAAGGCTTGCTGGGGCCTGCACTTTCTCTACAGCTCGATGGAAGCACCTCGCTGCGATGCTAACATACGACCACATGCAAGCAAATGGCTATTCATGAGTTTCGCTGGTCTTCACTCGTACAGCATGCTGCACAGGCGCTCAGTGCTGGCAACAGCGTGAAGTGTCATCGCCTTGGCTGCGTTGCAATTGCCGCCAAAAAGGAAAGGATCTCCCGGAATTCTGAACATGTTTTCCAGCAAGCGTCCAAGCCGTCCATACAATAGCCTTGGAGGAGCAATGCTGCCCAACGTTGGCTGAAATAGAGCATGTCACGAGGATTCACCAAGCAGCTGCCAGCATAGCACCGACTGACCGGGTGGCCATTATACTTCTCCCCACGAGCCCTGCACAAATGTGCTTCATACTTGTCTGGTGCACACCATCATCGACTCGAACAGCAGGATATCGCACGAAGCATGATGAAGCATGGCCGAAGAACCTACCACAATGCTTGCTCAAGACTCTCTCCTGAACGTCTGCAAAAGATCCAGAGTCGGCTCGTGCCAATTCCAGCACCGCTCAGTGGCACCCTCCTGCAAAGGGCTAGAGGCTACACCGGTGTTGCGTGCCCTGCATGTCCGGTTTGTTACAGCAATTGTCACCCTTCCTTGCTCGAAGTCGCCAGAGCTTGAATGTCACGCAAATCCGCTGCGTACTGAGACTCGGGATCGGCCTGAAATGATCTCGAGTGCCGAACTTTTCTACTGCTGCAGCTACAAAAGGCTGGCAGAATGTCCGTCTACACTGGTGTTTGCTACTGCCCCCCCATGTGGTGTACCAAGCTTACGCTTGCCACCTGCCTCGGCCAAGCTCTGATCAAGGCGTGCCGCGTAAATTGCACTTTGCCTCTGCGCACCACCACAAAGCTCATGTGCCAGTCTCTTGTTACGGCTGGGGAAGTGCAACAACGGCATCTGTCGGACGCTGACATTCAAGGACCAAAGGCACAGGACTCATTTAGCCAAGCAACTTAATGAAGAAGTCTCGTGCGCTCAGCCCATCCTGCCACCACAAGACGGTCTTGGCCTGCTTGCAAGAATAGAACCAGATTTACGGGGAGCACCTCGACCCGATTGATGGCGCTGTGAAGCAGGAATGCCAGGAAGCGCGCTGTCTCGGTGGCTAGACATCCTGCTGACATGTGCGCGACAGACACCTGACTCTTTGAGAGCGAAATTACGAAACATGAAGCATTCGAAATTTGGAATGACTTGTCCAATGGCTCCACAACACAATGCAAATTGGGCAAATGGTAAACCGCAGCTAGATAAACTCCAAGCCTGGATGCGTGGACAGGCTGGACCTAGCTGCCGCATCCAGAGCAGCCTGCGACCGAAGAGGCGAACAAGATGTTGCAAGAAGCCGAGACAAAAAGATGCAGTTGTCACTACAGTCAATGCCTCGCTAATGTTACCATGACTGCTATTGCTACAATCATGTCTAGTAGTTTTACTGTCAGTACTGCGCATCATGACTAGCTTGCTGTAAATGTTCTTGCATATGATCACTACCGTCATGAACAACGTTGCTGCAGTCACCCCAAGCAATATTGCTATTATTGATTTTGCAGCTATTGCTATGGACTCTTCCTCCTAGCTAATTTGATCCAAAGTTACTGTTTTTACACCTTCTTGCCGCTGATACACTATTACTCCATTACTTACTGTTGTTACGCTAAATGCGGTCATTCTCGCTGTTGTGACTGTACATCTTGTTACGTACCACGACGCTACTATCAGTGCCTCAGTTTGTGCTGACAGTCCTGTTTCGTTTTCGGGGAGGGGACGAGCCCCTGCCCCAACCGTGCTTGCCCAAAGCTTCACTGAGGAAACCCAAAATAAACTCAAATTCGTTGCGGGCCGCTTTGTATGCTCGACGGTTGGCGAGGCCTCCAACTGGTCAGGCCCATTGTAGAAGATCGGGACCTGACATCACTCAAGTTGCTACTGTAGAATCACAGCATACGGAGAAACACAACTTCTGCATGGGATGGCGAGTCGGAGAATAAAAGAGCCCGCCCAAGCACTGATCTTCAAACGGGCGCAAACTAGTCCTTTTCACGGTTGAGATCCTGCCGAGAATCCTGCTAAACGTCACTTCCGTATCCGCCTTATACTGAATCCACACAATAGAATGCGTAATGCCCTGCCAGGCCACTGGAGCCAGACGCATGAGTCCGCCATTGCCAGAATCACCTTTTGTAAATCGTTGTTCAAACATCATAGAATGCCCCCCCCCAGGTTCACATACCTACTTCCCACATTGTAGTCCAGAAGACTGATTCTTATATTGCAGTGTAAAGGACCGGCACACATGCGCATATGCTGGCACACATTCATGTATGTTCATTTGCCGGCTGGTTTGCTACTGCCGGGATTCAGGTACTCGGGCTCGATCGGGGCATCTGGATGAAGGGCGATCAAGCTTTTAGCCTCAGCCACTTCCCAGATCAAGACTTGTGCTGCATCTCCACGAAAGGCAACAGAGCCCATCCCAAAAAGTGCCATGCACTCAGCTAAACTGAGCGCTTTACAATGTTGTATCCCAGCCCGAAGCTGGTACGCTTTGTCCGCTCAGGATCCAAACGCCAAGGGGTGTTCATGGCCTGAACCACATGCACAAAGCGCTAGAAATGCAAGGGCAGCTTTCGCATCGCTATGCCCCCACGCTGAAATTGCATCGCAAAAATGCATATCATGAAATGATTCATGGCAGGGGCTCGAGCAACCATACCAACCACACTGCATTGCCCTAACACACAGGCCTCAGCGTGCCAGCACCAAAATCCTTAGTCTACACAACACACGTTCGAAGGAATCTGGCTGTGAAGTACCAGCAGGACTACAGACTCCCATTTGTGTTGCTGGCCTGTCATGCTTTCGGCGCGCACACGAAGTACAGTCCTAGTACAGTAGAGCTGTCTTATCAGATTTCTGGTACAGATTAGCTATGATAGCCATGGATTGCCCACATAAGGAGCCCAGCCACGCTTTCGCAGATCGCTGCCATCCAGACAACCACAGAGGCACAGCGAGTCGGCCAAGCACAACGCCTTTGCAACCGACACGCTGCGTGAATGTGCTTTCAGTGGCCTTACAAAGCATGGAAAGCCTTGCCATGTTGTCCTTTTTAGCGATGCAAGGCACCATGGATGTATCATCCGTCCACTGTCCCGGCTTCAGGACACCTCGCTCGATTTCCTTGGTCTTGGTCATCGCTTGGAACCCTTCATAACGAATCTAAAAAGACTCGCAGTATGATATGATACTGTGGAGCAGAAACATGAAATTAAAAGAACCGGCAGAGCTTCACAACCCCAGCTTCAACTTTCAAGCACTGGTCCAAATTATTGCATCCAAGAGCTGTGGTGTTGGGATTGTGGCATGTGAAGCTGTCCTAGGCCCAAGATGCAGCATGGCGGCTAATTGTCCTGCAACTGCTTGGCCGAGATGCGTGGTCCCAGCGACTGTCGCTAGGCTCATCTGTGACCTACGCACTGCGGCCACCCGTCGCTCTCTGAATTGCGGGAAACTCAGTTACACGAATGTTCAAGGCCGTGAGGCTGTTTCAATTGGTGGCGAAGTCTTTTTTAAGGGAGATGCAAGCAAGCCGAATGGCAAGTGGTACACATCTCTCCCCGTCCTCGAGGAATTCCAAAGGTGCACCAACCTGGTGACAATTATAGCCGCGTGCATATCGGCAATGTCTGCGATGCACCAACTGCAGCAAAGCAGCCCAGTCTGCCACTGCCAGGCCCACCAGCGCACCAACCGCCCGTCGTGCCTGAGGCGGGGCCTGCAGCGGAAAGCTGACATGTGAAAACTTCATGTGTCATCACGTGTGATCATGTGTGGGGTTTGGGTTCGGCTTCTGTGTTTTCCGCCCGTCAGAAGCTCCGATCTCTTCCACACGTTATGAACATACTCGCCTCCTTTATTAGCCAATTGTTACATCGAGACATGTCAAAAGATGGAAGGGGCAGGGGTTGTTTGCAATCGGAGGTGTTGTATAATTAGTTGGGTTTATATGGTTTGCTGTGGGAGCCCAAGCTTCTTGGGCAAATTTCAACGAAAGTGCCATGCAAGAGGTCCGGATCCTGGTTCCGGCATCCTAGCCCTTCTTGCGGAAGTACTCAGTGAGGCCCCGGTGAGTAATCAAGTTGCCTCAAATCTTCCCAAAAAGTATGCCTTGAATGCGTTTCAGCTTAGTGTCTGCCTAGGGGCGAGCACCGGAAGAGAAAACGGGTCTGCTTGACTGTCGGAGTGGGAAAAAGCAGAAACTCGAGGGACCCCGCGCCCTCACGTATTCCGAGGCCAAAGGCGAGGCAAGCAAATTTGTTCCATCATCTCATGTGGAGTAAAGTAACAGCATTCAGCCTTGGCCTTGCGCATCCGAGTTCATAGTCCTATGACTGAGTCATTCTCTACATAAGGGAGGATATGCAACTCCACAAGCTCCCTTGCAGACTCGGTGCATCCTGCTGGAGCCAGCTTGAAGTCCTCTCAAGTAGTTCGTCCTGAGAAAAGGCAGCAGTCTTCAGACATTCAGATTCTGCCTCTGAGGATGAAAATCAACGTTTATCCCTTCGAATCTGCTCCGGCTCCACCAAATGTGCGTCCAAGATGCAGGTACCTCAAGTTGCGGCACAACTTTACCACTGACAGTCCAAACGTATTCGTATGCGCGCTGCTTGCGTCCACCGACTTATCACGTGATGTGATGGACAGACACGTTGCCAAGCTGCATCTTGAAGCAGCGACCAGTCAGCCAAACTTGAGGCGCGTCCTCCTGACGCGGCAGGTAGAAGGTAACAGCAGTGGATCTTAATCTTTTACGCGGGCCTCGATCTTTTAGTTTCCGGTTCACCTTCACCAGTGGACTGTCATGAAGATGCGCCATCAACTCCTCTTGGTGGGACAGAAATCAAGCTCTTTCTGCAGAAGGGCAAGGATCTAGCACGGGTGGTCCTTCAGCAAGTCTCTCTCCATGCCAGTGGTAGCTGATTTTTCCATGGTACCGGATGCACTAGACTTAGAAATATTGTTGTTTGAAAGCAATGAATTCCAGCCCGCAGTTGCGTGCCAAACTAGTGGTCCAGCTTTGCACAGTCCTCAACGTCTGGGAAATGAATGGCTGCAACAAGCAGGAGCAAGCTTTGAAATGGCTGCACATGTGAGACCGCCGGATTGTCCTTGGCAGCTTGCTTCGGAAAAAGCGATGAGCTGTGGATACAAGCGAACAGCTAAGGACTGTCGCTCACAGGGACTGGGCATTCCTTTTTTGTAGTGGGCTGGTTGAAAGGTCCAAGTTCAGACCATCATCCACAGAGCACTATGTACAGGCAGAGCGCTTTAGTTTCAGCACTCGCCAAGGTGCTGCATGGCTAGCGCGTTGCTGTGTGTGTTGTGTGTCCACTCAGCGACGTCTAAGCAGCAGGAGAAGGAGCACACTCCATCACACGAGATGCCCCATCGCGATCGCAGGCGATGGCCTGAGCTTGCATCCTGGTGACTCAGTGAGCCCTAGTGGCTTGGACTCGACGCAGAAGAACCACTATTGTCTCATAAGCAAACACGACGAGCTAAGAAAGCGTGTCCGCAGCAGTTGCTGCCCAAACTGAGCCAAGGTTCGCGGCTGCAAAGTACGCCTGCCCAGACTCCTGATTGTAATTCAAGCCCATAATAGCCCATGCATGCTCTGTGCTCAACAGGCTGATCAACTCACCGTTGCCATAAAGCCAGAGTGCCTGCTGCGCCGCCCAAGCCCAGGATCACAGGTTCGGCGCCCAGGCGAAGCTGAAGCTCGTGGCCTGTTCATCGCCCGCATGATCGCTCGGCTAAGCTTCCGGAGCTCTCCCGGGACACTTCTGCTCCCACCTGGCCCACGCCAGAAAACTCGCGCCGCCTGCAGCCGATGCAACAAGCAATACGTGATTCGACATGTAAAAGCAAGGTGAGGCTCGGTGACAACGGCCGTGAATGGCTTCACAGGCTTTAAAGATCTCAGACGCTCAGCTACACAGCACTTGGAGGGCTCGGGCTTCTTCCGCAGCGCCTGCGATACAGCACCCACCGAAGCCAAAGCCAGCGGTCCCGCAGCTCCACGGAGCCGCGACCGACGAAGCACAATCTGTTCACATGTGCAGCAAAGAAGGGTAACAGTGAATAGATAGGCAACAACTAGTCCAAAGCTTACCCTGATAAGTATGACTCTGCTTTGTCTGAACACGCGATCGATTCGACGAGAGCAGATGCTTTTGAGGCCAGTACCACGTACGGCACCGTCAAAAGCAGGATTGGAGAGCAGCCACCGGCGCCGATCCACACGAGCTTTGCCAGTGAACCTGCTGCCAGGCGTATGTATGTTGCTTGTCTTAGCCTAGGCGGTTTGCGAGCGCCTGCATCCTGCATTCCGGCCGAGACAAGAAGCAGCGCTGACTGGAGCATAGCTCCCATCTGCCGCGGTCATCAATCATCAGGTTTCAGCCAGGTAAGAGGTTCCCGTGGTAACCTTTTAGGCGCCCAGCCAGCCTCTTTAGGGTAACAGCTAGGCGATCTCCTGGGTTCAAGCCATCAAGCCAACAGTCCCAACTCATCAACCCCAGATCTTTAGCACAGGTCCCGAGCCAGCTCTGAAAACCCACATCCCCAAGCCCTCCCCGAGCGCCAAGAGCAGTCCGTAATAAGTGAATCTTCAAATGCTGAACCCTAAGCTTTAATCCCCGAACCTAACTACAAGCTCTGCCATGCAGTGAATCACATGAACCTAATTGAGCCCTGATGGGTGTCCCCTTTATTGGAGAATTTCAGGTTTAGGGTCTCTCGGTCCGGACTCTAAACCACCAAAAGTCATCCCAAAAAAGATGGGAGCAGCAGACACATGTAGAACTTCCAGCAGCCAAGGAACCTTTATGGAAATCCCCCCTGTAATACACTGGAACACTCAGTGCCTCACACGTAACCCTACTGAACTTTCATCTCCATACAGCCCCTTTTTGTAATATTCATGTTCACTCCCCCGCCCCCCTTTAAGCTCCAATAGGTAATGGCACAACCTGAATAATTGCCAATATCATGTTAGCTTGCCATGTTGGCAACTATCCCTATAAGACTTCATTTCTGAGTGCGCGCTCCGACCCCACCACTCCCCATCCCGAAGCCCCCATCCCCATGATATCGTACACATCTGGGCCATAAACGCTCCATAAAACCTCTCTAAAAAAACCACAGGACCATGGTGAGGGAATGAATTTCTAAGCCCTCTTCAAAACTCTATCAAACTTTATAGGCCCTCTACAAACTACAAACCCTCCAGAAAACTCTTTTACCGTTTTGCTTTGACCCTAATGCTGACACACAAAAATCTAATCGCCCAAAGCACAAGCCCCCAACAATCCCGCAACCCTCATAAGATCAACTTTGAGCTCTTCCCTCGAACCTCAAGTCTTCACACCAAACCCCTTCGAGCCAGAACCATCTCAAACTCTGCCTGAAACCTAAAGCTTCGTCCCGGAACCCTACAAATCTACAAAGCCCACGCCCTGCCACTTCCAACTCCGATCCTGAATCCCAGAATTTGCCAGCTGATATTCGATCGGTTGGTCAAGGAACGTAAACTTGTTTGCTAGGTTCTGGCTTCGAGCTGCACAGGGCAGAGCAGCAAAAGCAAGTGACGGGAATATCTGCGATAGCTGCTCGCAAGTCATTGGCTTAAGAGCATGTGTTGACATGCCAGGGCCACCAGCCAAGTCCCAAAGGCACCGAGACAGCGCACAAGGGCGGCTACCTGAGGAATGCACGGAGGTGCATGGTCAGCGTAATGCAGGCATGCGCTGCCTCCTTTTGGCACTGCCATCTAGCCGGAAGACGTAATATACGGTCTGCAGCTGGATTCACGCATCACATTTCCGGCGAGTGGCGCTCAGTGCTGAGAGTGTCGACCCAGCCAGCCGCGCTGCGGCCAGGTCGCGGCGAGGTAGTGCTGTGCAAGAGCAAGCGCGAATGTCTATGTGAAATCAGAACAGCATCGATAGTAGTCTGAGACTTGCCGGTAATTACATGCTTGTCCTTTTCATCCGGCCTAGGGAGGCTTGGAAGATCCCTTGCTGCTGGGACAGGGCTTCATTGGCCACACCACACAGAAGCAAGGCCAGCAGTGCCTCAGGCAGATTGGTTCCTGTGTGCAACAGCCAGGGAAGGCTCATTCTGACCAATGCGGGCAAGTCTCAGCCACAACTCCCGGGTCCTGAAAAGGAAACTTATGCAACAGGGTGAGCCACTTTGTTGTTCAGCTCTTTCTGGACGCCGCAAGAAAAGACTGGGCCCTTTCAGAATTCTTTCGGCGTGCGTCCTCTAGGAAGTCCGCCATCAAATTGTCGCTCAAAGCCTGAGACAAGGTGCACATCCATAAGAAAGCGGCCTCAACTTTCCACCAACCTATTGCAGGCTCTGACGGTTTCCTGCTTGGACTCTGCACCACGCGCCGCAGGTTCTGGAGCTTCCGAGCCGTCCTGTCTAGAACGTCATGTCACATCCACGCTTTTAAAAGCCTGGCCAGACTTGCTCATTCAAGCACAACAAGGGAAACAAGCGATGGAATACGATTACTGCACATTTGCCAGCAGTGTTCTCTCGCATGATGCAGCTCACTGTCAGCACAGCCAGATGGTGTCAGAGTCACAGCATGCAACCTCACGTGTCCTTGGGTGTCTTTCCTCGATTTAGACGCCATCGCCTCTTGTCACCACGCACTCGCCTGAACTGCCGCGGAGCTGTCTGCAATCAGTCTCAGCAGTAGCAATCTCTTGTGATGGTCAAGGCAGTGAGTTTATGCCATATGTGCCACAAACAATATTTCCCAACATAATCTAACAGACGTGGGTTCCTTACTAGGGAACATATCTGGGACTATACTAAACTACAAGAGGGACCCCTATGTCCACTGTTCAAGGTCCCTTAATAAGACCAATATTGGCTGTAGCTCACTTGGATGTGGAGCTCTGTGTAACAAATCACAAAGCTGAGTCATTCGAAATCGCCTTGCCACCCTGAAACGCCTCCGCACTCTCTGCAAACCTTACATCAGATGGCAAGGATCTGAACCCTAATTTCCCTCTGAGACGAACCCAGCTGAACCCTTCACTACCAAGTTGCAGAGAAAGGCAAAGGCCTAGCAGCAGGAAAGGGACTGCCAGCAGCATGCCTTGGCCAGCAGTTTAGCTGACAGCAGGAGTGCAAACACGTCACAGGCAAAGCCGAGAAAGCCACTGACTCGTAGAGTCACGCAACGGCCAGGAGGACAATCATTGGAGGCAAACGATGTGAAGTAGCCATTCAGGCCTTGGGAGCTTCAACATGATCTCAAATGCCTGTCTAAATACAGCACTAGCCTACTATATGAATCAGGTCTGCCATATTGGCCAAGTTGCCCCAAGGCTCGGAGGCCACAGACATGCCCAGGAATTCGCCAAAGATCTGGATGAGGCCAGCAACCTCAGAAGTCGCAGCCGAAAGCCATGCCTGACCGTCTACTGCAAACACAACAACTGAGCAAGCTGCTGCCAGTATGTGGCAAAGGCGAACAGAGCTGGTTGCAACCTTCCACTGATCATGTTCAGGAACCACAGATTCTCTGCACCTGCGCACTTGCTGGCCAAGAAGCCTCTGTGCAGCTGAACAGCAACACCAACCTTGGCGAGGCAAACATGTCTGGTTTGAAACAGTGGACAGCAACAAAAGCATGAGACAGTGTGAGCCCTCTGGCCCAGGAGAAAATGTAAGGCTTTCAAGCCAAGGAGCTGGACAGATGCTCCGGCCAGCCCCAGCGAGACGGCAGCTAGAACAAGTGGACTTTGCACCTCAAGTTCTGGATATCGCTGCAGGCCAGCAAACATACAACATTCGGGAAACATTGAGGGTGGCAGCCCCTGCCAAGCAACCTCACTCTGAGAAACTGTTCAGGACTAGCCACGCGTACGCAAGACAGACGTGACACAGATCAGTCGTCGACATGTCACCCGACACTCCACGCTAAATGACATTTGAATTAAACAGCTTACTTTACGCTGAACAGTGTTCCTGCTCAAAAGGCCTCAAATAAGGAGTGGTCCTGCCGGGCACGGAGTGAATCGGGAATCATTTGTTCATTCATTCAGGCACCACCATGAGGTCGAGAACTACACGTGCGCTAGTCTGGAACCAGCCCTCCCACTATACATTACTTCCAAGCCATCCACCCACGCCTTGGCTGATTGTGTAGCTGCAGCAACAAGCTATCCCGTACCAGCTATGGTCGATTCTTGCCACCAAGACTCCAGAGAAGCATCGTCTCCGGGAGACACGGCAGTTGGCAAAAGCAGCGTCACACATAGAGAAACTGCAAAGGCTGCGCATGCCAAGCCTGGCCGTAAGTGGACTCACAGAGACCATCCTTTTTCAACCGTGTCACCAGACAAAACATTGCCAAACTGGCCAAGGTTGCGCCGAAGCGGTCCGCAGCCATTGCTGCTGGCTGCCTGGAATGATTTGCAAAGCTTTTGTGCACCATCACAGTCACATGACCTTGCCCTGCCTTCGCAAGCAGCACTCCGAGGGATGGCAGGATGGCAAAGGCCGCCGCCGGCAACGCAACGGATGCCCAGCTGAGCAGAAGCTTGACAGGAAAATGTTCATGCTCAGCATCCACGGCTGAAGTCTAATGTATCTTGGCAACAACTTTTCCCTGCCCACTCCTGAAAGCTGATGTCCTGCGCAGCTGCTCTTCAAAAATCTCGATTAGCATCGCCATGGGGAGCAAACCTTTGGCAAGGCAGCAACGGCAACAGAAGGGAAACCCCAGAGCAAAGCCATATCATGCTTGCAGCAACCCCAAACGAATAGAACATCCCGAGACCCAGAAACCAAAACAAACAAGAACACCCCCATTCCCAGCAGAGCCCAAGCCCACCTCCAGCTGTGTGTGCAGCAGCGAGGCTTTGCATGCAGCCGCGGCTTCTGCAGGCATTGTCCTATATCAAGTGATCGCAATGATGGCATTGGCCCTGGCAACCAATCTCGTGTCATATGTTCTTACACAAGCGGGACACGAAAACTCCATGAAATTGGCTTGCCAGAAGCTTCACAGGATGCACCGTGCCAGTTTGTGTACTGCATCTCGTCTGGGGCCGCCACACAGCAACATTCATCATCTGAGAAAGGGTCCTAGGATTTCTCAAGCTCCATACAATGGCTTCTCCTGCTTCTTCTAACTAATGTCCACAGGCCCTGCTTGCCCAACCACCCCTTTCAGGTCTAGCCATGCCGTGCATCGAGCAAGAACTCAAGTGAGCATTAGGTAGCCGCTTCATAGACAAATGCTTGCACTACGTGCCCCAGGCCCAATCATCATCACAAACTTCCACAGCATGAGCTGCGCAATTTACAGGGCACGCATTCATGCACAACTCCACGAGCCGATT